TTGTCCAGGAATCAGAATCGATTCTAATTCGATTAACGATTAAAACGATTATTATAGAATCGATTTACAGCCCTAGTATCACCACCATCATCACATACGCTTTAATCACACGCATAACATCACCAAGCGTCAAGCATTGATATTCTACCTTCCGTGATTAATTATCCTCACAAGACTACTACTTGAAGGTTATATAAGTCGCCTCTAACTTATTTGTCTAAACTCATTGCTCTCAACGTAAGTTGGTCTATTGTCTATATCGTTCGACTCGCTCTCCCATTCAACGGTTACATTAGCACACATGCACCACAATCAATATGTGATACAAAGCATTAAATTAAGTAAAAAAGATAATGATAATCCGCAACGGTAACTGTGTTAGGTCAGCAGTTAAGTACGTACGTACGTACTTACATGGGAAACTCCGAAGATTATCAGTTATTCATGAATGTTCAATGTTACCTGATTAAACAATTTTATTGGATGTTGCTAACGGACATTGCATGTTTGGAGTAGAAATAAGAGTTCTCCGCTGCGTTTCGGATAGTAACCCTTGTAATGATTGAAGCACTTCTAATTTAACACAGAAGAGTTATTTCAAGTTGCTTTGGAGCATTTCGGCATATAAAAAGAATAAGAAAACAGGAGACAATAGTAACACAAACATTTGCCATGTAGAAAACTTTCTAAATTCAGATTTCTCTTCCGTTACTGGAAACGTTCCGGAATCGTATACATGTAATGCGGGACTATTGGAAGCACGTCTAAACGCTACGAAGTTGAATAACTCCTTATATCATGACAGCTAAAGATCATATATTAAAAGTGGCTTATTACGTTAACAACAATAATTCAAATATTAAATTTTGGGTTGTGTGGATATCGGGGTTGTGTGGATTTCGTGATCACACTAATCATTGTCGTTTACAGAATTTTGATTTTACTAACTCTCATGAGAGATTTAAATAATACATAACTAATAAAGCGATGGCTGGCAAGCGTAACCCTGATCTTCCAGAACATGTCCTAATGCAGCAATAACTATGATGACCTGGAGCAATGCCACCGTATACTTATTCATATTGGTGATGCACCACTGTATGGTCGTCGTTTTAGTAACTTCTATGACAGGTACCCAAACGGTGGTTCGAATGGTCTAACTGCTGAAAGTGTGCTAGAAGAAATGCAATCAAAAAAATTTTTATACAGTACCGGACAGCAAGAAACATCCAATTTTTTTTAAAAGCGCCAAATTTTGAGATTTATACTCAAATCTGATT